TTTTTTTTTTCTTTGAAGTTCCACGGAGCGGAGCGGAGCGGTTTTTTTCATTTGAAACTATCACGGAGCGGTGCGGAGCGGTTTATCCGAAGGCAAAAGCCTCACGGGGCGGAGCGGTTTTTTTTTTCATGCCACGGAGCGGAGCGGAGCGGTTAATCCGTAGTGCGTTTTTTTGTACGGAGCGGTTCCTTTACTCCGTAGCGAAAACCGCGCGAAACCGTGGCTTTGAGCACGGTTTTCCGTCGGAAAAAAACGTCGAAACCGCACGGATATCCGTACACAATCGACGGAGCACCTGCAATTTCGTGAAAACCGTTGGGTTTCGTGCACCGAAGACCGATTGTTCCGTACTGTGTGCTGTGGTTGGAGGCCGCGGGTGACACTGTATGCGTCCTCGCGACTAGGACAGCCCAAAAAGACAAAAAAAGCTGTCAATCATTCACTTAATTTATTATTTAGAGAGGAACCATTCACATCGATACCTCCTCGACTCGTTCATACGTTCCTGCAACACGTACAACAGCACATGAAATCTCACTTGCCTCTTGTTGAAACTTGCCAGGCGTCTCGTGTATCCATCCAAATACAACACGCCTCTAGTTCACTCAGAGTCGACATCGACAACCACTTGCTCTCCCGCGTTCGCGGCTTGGACAGATGTAGCTTTAGCCTTCCCAACAGCCTGCGCTGCAAGCAGCTTCCCCAACCCGTTGTCCAACTTATTGATCTCGGGAATAAGATGGGGGTTAGACCTAAGGAACATCACCATCTCGACCCGGTCGGGCACCATCGCTTGCCGAAGATTGTTGTACACGAATCCTAGCCCCGAAAACTCCCTCTCTGATTGGCAACTAGTGCTGTCAATGCAAAGGTACACGCGAGCAAGCATGGACAAGATGGGGAATTGTGCGGCAGAAACAACGTTGCCGTGGGGGTCAAGACGCGGGCTGCCGGCATCCCTCCAGAAACCGAGGACGTCGTAGTCCTTCGCGGGGACGGCGGCAGGCAGCTTGGTGTATTCATCCACCTCCTTCTGCACGCGGTCCGTTACAGACGGCTGGTCTCTACGCGCGCTCGTCCGCGCAGCTGCTGCCTCCTGGACCTTCCGCGCCTGACGCCTCTCGTACGCGGTCGTGGCCACCCTTGCTCGCTTCCCATTTTCATCGGGAACGATGCATCGCGTGTTCTTCCCGCCGCTCACCGGCCGGTCAAGCTTCTGGAAATACGTCCAAACTCCCGACAAAGTCCCGTTTGCCACGGTCTCTGCTACGTTGATGACGGTGCGTTTGACGCTGCGCACCGTGTTCAGCAGGGCTGCAGGTTGCGCCGCTGCTGCTGCAGCACCAGCGGCAGCAGAACCACCACCACCAGCAGCACCAGCACCAGCACCAGCACCAGCACCAGCACCAGCACCAGCAGCACCAGAAGAGCGGTCGCCAGAAGGGCGGTCGCCAGGGTCGGGTGTCGACTCCATCAGGCAGACGTGCACACGGACTGATGTGCACGGAGTGCGTTGCGCGGAGTGTATGTGTGTGTGGCACGGACTGCTGCTGTGTGCGTGGGCACGGTTATTTGTGTGGCTGCTGTAAAAGTAGAACAGAAAAACAGAAAAATACCGCGACTCCGTGGGAGAAAAACCGTCACTCCGTGGGAAAAACCGTGACTGCATTGCGGTTTTATCCGTGCTTGTGTGACGGAGTAGCTCAAACCGCTCCGTGAAAAAACCGCTTGTGCGGTTTTTTGGGAAGCCCCACGGAGCGGAGCGGAGCGGTTTATCCGAGGGCAAAATTGTCACGGAGCGGAGCGGTTTTTTTGTTCATGTCACGGAGCGGAGCGGAGCGGTTTTTTCTGGAGGGAAAATCCCACGGAGCGGAGCGGAGCGGTGTAAAACGCTCCGCTCCGTGGAAAAAAACCGCTCCGTGCAGAACCCTGAAAAATTGCAAACAATCAACGATCATGCGAACTTTTTCCGAAGGACATGCATGCGATTTGCAACTCGCACCAAACAGACGGCCGATCAAGGCGCTCTGTCTGTGCATGTCCGCGAAGGTGCTGAGTACAATGGTAGTACTGCACCCCATGGGGTAGCAATCCCCCGGCCCTCACTTTCTGGAAAGCCAGCGGCCGCACTCTTTGCATTCACGAAATGCGGAAAGCGTGCGTGACGCACACACGCATGTTGTCGACAGACCGCGCAAAGAGACATTTTTTTGTTTTTTTTTTCATGTCGTCGCATAAATACCAGCAGGACCAATGCCCTCGCATGACGCTTCATTCACGCAGCAGCAGTACACGACGGCGTCATTCACCATTGTTAACCAGTGATAGGCGGCAGCTGCTGTCAGCAGCGGTTGCGTTCAAAAACTACACTTTCAAGAAAAAAAACAACGAAAAAAAACACAACGGGGAAACATACATCANGAAAGCGTGCGTGACGCACACACGCATGTTGTCGACAGACCGCGCAAAGAGACATTTTTTTGTTTTTTTTTTCATGTCGTCGCATAAATACCAGCAGGACCAATGCCCTCGCATGACGCTTCATTCACGCAGCAGCAGTACACGACGGCGTCATTCACCATTGTTAACCAGTGATAGGCGGCAGCTGCTGTCAGCAGCGGTTGCGTTCAAAAACTACACTTTCAAGAAAAAAAACAACGAAAAAAAACACAACGGGGAAACATACATCACCACTTGCTACAAAAAATCAACCGCTTCCACGACCCCTTCCCCGCCCAGCACCTCGCGAAGCGCGCCTTGCTCCCCCACGCCCCCTAGTACCGCGTGCTGCCCTACCCCCTCTAGCACCCCTTCCTGCTCCACGCCCAGCGCCCCTTGCTGCTCGACGCCCACGTCCAGTCGCTGGTGTACTGGCGCGAGATTTTCAGCTCCGGGGCAAAAAATCTCGAGGATCTCATCGCGCTCTTTCTCTGCCTCCTGTTTCTTGAGTGTTAAACCCTGGAGCTGCTGCCCCAACTCCGNCGCTGGCTCGGGCTGCACGTTGCACCTTTTTGCCTCATCATTGTTGAACATGTCCTGCAGCAGCTTTACACACCCACCCTTCTCTCCGGAAACAGACGCGGTGTTGTCCGACAGAACATACATGACTTGGTGGGGCGGGTAACCGAGCACGTTTACAATGGTGTCGTAGAACAGCTCCGCTTGCGTTGTAGCTGTCTCGTCCTTCATGCTGCAGATCCGGAGCATCCCCCACCACGGCGCCTGAGCTTCGGCATCCCAAAAAGCAACGAAGATGGCGAACTTCTTGTCTCCTTTCCGCAGAGATTCATCGCCGGCGACCAAAAGATACGGAGCTTCGAAAATTAATTGCTTTGATGCGCTCGGCCTTGTCGAGATGTGAAATGCCGAGCGCAAGCGTCTTCGCCGTCGTTCCCGTAAACTTCGTCTTGCCGTCTAGCTCCACGCCATAGGCCGCGTTGACCGTCTCTTTGATCAGGGCCCCAACCTGGACGAGCGGGGTGCCGGCTTGGATGAATTTTTCTACCAACCGAGCCGATGCCAGGCCGTATTTTCGCCTTCCACGTTTGTTCTTCCGCTTTCCGTCCGTGGTCTCTGCCCTCGACTCGCCTCCCTCCTCGCCTCCCTCCTTGCTCTCCTGCTCGCTCTCTTCGACTGCTTGTCGCGGCCGAAGGTTATCCTTGACTCCCTCCTCTACGATCTTCTTCAAATGCGCTGGATCGAACGGCTTGCGGGTGCTCTCGGCGATGGCGAGGGAACGCTGTAGTTGCTTCACCGATGTGTTGAGAGCGTTGATTCGGAAGTTTTGGCGCGTGGTCTGCAAGATGCGGGAGGGAGAAAAACAAACATGAGTTGTGAGCGAGAGAGCAAACCAGAAAGAGCGTCTCCTTGTTGGCGACAAATCGACCTGTTCTGCTGCTATTGCTGGCAACACATCATTGTCGCGCTCCTGTCGAGGCCAAGCTAATAACTCGTGAGAAGCAGCGGCACACACGAAAGAGGGAAAAAAGCAGAACGAACGAGGAAAAAAAAGAACGTTGAGGAAAAAAAATATATCGCTCACCTTTGTTTGCAGAATCTCGTTGGCCTTCTTCATCTCATCTCCCCAGGAAGCTGTTGCTGCCAGCTCTTCTTCCGCCTGCCTTGCCAACATCTTTGCCTGGATAAGCTGCTCTCGTGCCGTCAAAACAGATTGCCTCTGCTGCTGCCGTTGCTGCGGCTGCCGCTGCTGCTGTTGTTGCTGTTGTTGCTGGTGTACTGGCGCGAGATTTTTAGCTCCGGGGCAAAAAATCTCGAGGATCTCATCGCGCTCTTTCTCTGCCTCCTGTTTCTTGAGTGTTAAACCCTGGAGCTGCTGCCCCAACTCCGTCATCGCTTCCTCTTGGATGATCTTGTCCTCCGCCCGCTGCGCCCGTACCGTGCGCAAGTGCCCCTCCGCTATCACTCTGCCCCTCTGCTCGATGGCCAGCTCTGCCGCAAGCTCGCGTCTCAGTTCAGTCTCATTCTCCAGCAACTTTTCTTTTTCCCTCGCGTCTTCCTGAACCAACTTGTGTTTCGCGGCAGCCTTGCGCTTCGCCGCGGATTCCTTTTTCAACTTGTTCACGTGGGCCATGCACTCTAGCTTCAAGGCTTTGTAGTCCTTCGCCTCGAGAGCCTTGTTGCGGCGAGCATACAACGCTACATCCAGCATCGTGCTTCCGTTTCGCTCAGCATAGTTTTCTTGGACTCTTGCAAAATTGTTTTTTCGCTTCTTCGTCGACCATGCTTTTTTAAAAATACAGTACATATATTACGACTTACCAGACCACGCGCTGGCTCGAGGGGGGGGGTCCGAGGGGGGGTTTACCCCCCCCC